CTGTCTGTGATAGTTTTTGTCTTGCTGAGGTAATCCGATATAGACATTGTTCCCTTCTTAAGGGTTTAAAGTTGAAGCATAAGTTGCATCATACGAGCTGTTGACTGTGACACATAGAGCTTCTCCAATGTTTTCCACATGTCCCTAGAAGTAGTGAGGCCAACCACTTGTGACAACACTCCTTCTGTCATTGTGGCAATTAACCAACTCAATAAGAGTTGATCTTTTTGTCCCACACAATGACTATGAGATTTGAATCACCCTCACAATACTTGGATGGGGAGGGAGTTGATCCATCAACATAACCATATAGGTCTTGGCTGCGCAGAATAGGTAAGAATTGTGACCGCCACAATAGATAGTTGGTTCGATCAAGTTTGGTGGATACCAATTGCATGATGTTAGATAATTGTGGAGAAGCTGCAGGAATGGCGGAGGAATAAAAAGATTGAAAAACTGGTAAATTCGACTGATTAAGGGGTGCTTGTGTGAGAAGCTATTGGGCCTTTAGAGGTGAGCCTTGGCTCAATGCTGCTGCAATAGTCAAACGTGACTATCTGCAATAGTCAAATGTGACTATTTAAGGTTGGATGCAAGGCAAAGACCGTAGAAGCAAAGTAGTTGCTTTGCTTGTATTAATATTGTGCACTTGCCAATAAGACAAGCATAGCATTCTATAGTCTAAGTAATGCAAGAACGTAAATTGGCAATGTCCGTTTATGGATGCCAAATAGTGCCCTCTCTGATACCATAAGAACATATAAGAGAGAGAGAGAGAGAGAGAGAGAGAGATGAAGAAAGTGACTTTGAAAGTCTCTCTCATGTTTTTTGAGATGAGAGAAGTGGTATGTCCATCGATATATATATAAAACATTTACAAGATAAGTACAAAACATGTACACTCAACAAGTTGATATGGTCAACCTTAAATATCTCATTTGTGATGATTTGTTTGTTGTGGAGATAATTTTAGTGGAAGGAGGTTTCACAAGTTCGTTAATAGGCCTCAACTAGCCGAGCACAAAAAAACTTTGTAACATTTATTTTTTTAAAAAGTAAAAAGACAGGAATGTTTAGAAACATATTTTTAGATGATTTTGATGGGTTTTAAGATATTTTGAGAACTTTTCTTGTCATGCAATCCAATTTTTTTATGTTTTCTTTTGATTTTTTTGAAATATTCATGGTATAAATTAATATTTTAAAAAATAGATCAGTGACCTTGATCGCCGATCTCGAAAATATGTCTGGATTGGTGGACGGCGGTCAGGATCAGTGAATTGGTCGGATCTGCCCAAAACAACCTTAAATTTGTTTTATAAAAATTTCTTAAAAGTCTAGTTTTTCAGATTTCCAAAAAAATTGGGGTGTTGCATTATAATTTTTTGTTATTTTCTAAAAAATATATAAATACTGAGAAATAGTTTCATATCTTAGTGTTTGTTGCCCATTATATTTATTTGATAGTGAAAGTGAAGTCTCTAACTCAATTTTTTATTTTTATAATCTCCAATGCCACTCACGCTTGTAAAGATAAAGGGTTTTTTGTCTATTCATTTCTTATTTTTCCACTTAACTTGAAAATTAATTTATTGAATTAATTATTTTTCTATTTATATTTGTTTACTATTATATCTCTCTATCCGCTCTCAAAATTTTCCCAAAATCCGTCGATCCTCAAGTCTTTTTTGGTTGCTTAAATATTTGTAAATTTTTTTTTTCTCTTTTTGTTGTATAACTTATAAACATCTGTATTAAACCCTTTTTGCTTCAGACACTCGTTTAAAAAGATAAGCACTTTACCAAAAATTGCTAAACTAACATAAATGGACTAAAAGTTCATGATAATATACCAAGATCAATCACAAATTAACCATATTTCACTGAAATTATAAAATAAATAAATATTTCCCTAGATATTTTTCTTTAACCGCATGAAAGCTCTGCAACTTCACTCTCTGCAGTGGAGAGATCGAAACTGGCCAAGATACTGCCTTTTTTATAGGAATCTAGAGGGAGAATGACTATAATACCCTAAACCCTTAGTATTCTTTTTCTTATTTAATTTCATGGGAGAAACTGTTTAGCTGAAGGACACAGTTCAATTGGATTATACTATGCTTTTCCATATCTTTCTTTTTTATTGAAAAGCAATTGATTTTGAATCCAAAACAAGTCCATTTTGACCTCTATTGATCTTGTTTTCTATATCTTTAGTCGTTTCTCTTACTCTCCATTAATGCTTGTTATTTTTGTCTGGAACTGGTCTCTACATTTGACTGGGATCTTCTATGTGGAAAAGAATAAATCCTTAATGCTCCTCTTGTGCTGAAGGATCGGGACCTCTATGCTCTAGTATAAGCAAGGATATGGTGTAAGAAATATCCCACATTGGAGATGGGGGGTGGGGGGCAAATCCTTATAAAATGGGTTAAAGGGGCAAGGGGTGAAGACTTGGAGTTTCCGTAAGATGGGTTTAGGTGCGGGTCCTCCTCTTTAATGGAGTTGGACCACTTTGCATAAGATGTGTTATTTAAAGAAATATTAAATTTGAAAAATAAAATATCCTCTTTAAGGAGGTGGACTTTTTTTTTCAAATAATAAAAAACTATAAAATGTGGCATGAGAAATTAGGCTGGTTTGGTTCGGTTACCAGTTCCTGACAGAACCAACTGGTTTTGTAGAGACTGGCCCGAACCGGTCGTGTCATTGGGGAAGCGGCCAGTTCCAGATAGTTTGCAGGAACCATTTTGTGTTCAATGATTCCTGGATCGGCGTTTTTTAAACATTGGTATAAGTCAAATGCTGATCCCAAATAATTGGGATAAGGCTCTGATGAAGATGGTATAGATCAAATATTTCAATAGTCTCGCTTTTATTTATATTTTCATCTTCGATAGTCTTTTAATGATTTCTATTACTTTCTTAAATTATTTTTAACTATCTTTCACCTTTTTTATTTTTTAACATTTTCCCTTGGTGTGCATTACTCGGGCGAGTCCCCACCCCCTTCACAAACTCATGTTCCCTCTCTACATATAAAAAGAAAAAAAAGAACTTGTCCTCCAAGTGGTCGATGTGAGATCTCTCTCTCACGCACACATAATCCCACACACACATACATTTGCGCAGACACACACACATAGAAAGATGCCCCCTCAACAACATCCCACCCCCCAAAAATAAAAAAGCCCCAAGTTGGGTAGGAACCTCAAAACGCCTAGGCACCCGCCTCCATGTTTTTAAACATTGCTGAGTTGATATTAATGTGTTTTTCTCGATAAATTCCTCTCTGGGATATCTTTTTCTTTTTGAACTTTAAAGTTAGTCTGTTTATTTTTTTAATGCATATTTTGGTTTTTGGATAAATTATGCAGTACTTAATCAAATTCAACTCCCAAACCGGTACTTAGATGATTCACATGGTATTTATTCCATGTTTTCATGAGTCATTTTCAGTTCTTTATTGACTTTGTCCAGTCTCTTATGTGTGTGCATTGTTCTTTCTTGATTGGTGCTTTACATGCAGCCTTACATAGAAACTCCACTTTTTTAACTATGTTACGTGTCGACACCACATGCTGACAATTGGACATGTGTCGACACACACAGGCATGCCCCAGACATGTTACTGTACGTGCCAGGTCATTTATACATTATACATATGTATTGACACTTCACACTTCTTGAGGAAGTGTCATCTTTGGGGACACATGGTACCTATTGAATTTTTGTAGAAAACAGGTCTTTGGAAGCTCCCCAATTTAAACATAAGCCATCATCCATAATAGGGTCAGCTTCACCATCCAAGCTGTGCTTCACGAATGACATATATAGGGAACTAAAAAAAAAAAAAAACTAGGATTTACTACCACATTTTCCATCCAAGGGTGGCGTACAAGGTATGAAAAATTAAATATAGTAGTGCATTGTACAAAAGTGTCTAAAAGTACTGGGTTTTCAGGCTCCTGTACTTGACACCCCAATACATACTAGACACTGACATGTGTTGAGGTCCATGTACCACTGCTTGTAGGTAGCTTTTATACACTGATTTTAATTCTACTGGATTGTAGTCAATGCTTTTGTGTTATGGTATTGCAGATGACTCAAAGAAGACCAGACACTTACTTGAACTCAAAGGTGCCAATGAAAACCTTAAATTGTACAAAGCTGACAACCTGGATGATGGATCCTTTGATGCAGCAGTGGATGGATGTGATGGTGTTTTTCATACAGCGTCTCCGTTTTATTTTCAAATCAAGGACCCTCAGGTTGTTTCTAATTTCTAAGTTATCTGCATTTATGACAATTACATTACAAACTTAGTTAGGCTTGAAGTATACTGGTACGTGACACTTACTAACTTTGTTATACTAACTTTGTTATATTTGGGATTAAATTAATTTTTTCAATTTTTCATTGCAATAGATTTAGCTGTCTGCTGGCTCTTAGAATTAGACAGACAGATGCCTTTATTTCAAAGTGTCATAATGTCCTGTTAATGTGTGAGATTTTGTAAAGTTAAGGGCTTTCCTAATTTGAATTTAGAGCACCCATGTCAAGACTGTGTGAACGTGTTTTAAGGATTGTATTCTTTTGAATTTCATTGTATTCTGTTTATCTAGAATGTGTTTTGCCTTTACATATGATTGGTCATTGACTCCTCAGTAAGAAACTTATAATTGCCAATTGGTCCCTCTCCTAAAACTAGTGATTCTTTGCCAATTCTTACCTAATGAAACTTATCTATTCTTCTGTGTCCATGAGGCATTTCTGGATGTAACAGTCCCTGACAATATTGTTAGTTATGCAGAAAACTTAGTTACTTCAATTGCGCAAATGGCGCTTTCTAATTTCTATTGTCCAATCCTTCCAACAGAAGTAACAGAACACCATGTATTTTCTTTTGACTCAGATGATTTAAGCTCATGCAGCAGTGTGTACATCTACAAGCCAGAAATAGACCCATTGGCAGTGCCAAATGGTTGGGTTGGTTGATGTCCTTGCATGCAAAGCTTTCTATGTCCATGTTATTTCTATGAGTCAGTTTGTGTGGTTTCATATTCCAGTTAAAGTTCTCAAATGTTGATACTTGATAGAAGTGTCTCAATGCCATTTTATTGTGCAAGGTATTCTTTGTTGTTTCTAGTATACTTTGGTATGGGTTGGTTGATCGTATCCAGTATCTGATTCTGAGGTGGTGCTTATGTGGATACTAAGCAATACATGATCAAAAACAAATTAGGTAATAAATCAAGCCTGCATTCGTGATATGTCATCTGTTCATAAATACCAGAAATGTTTAGTCTGTTTATAACCATATAAATATATTTCTTAATCTTACTGGATTATGCCTTGGTTTGTTTTGCTTACCCAGCATTTATATTTTTTTACTTGCCACTGTATTTAATGTATTATTCTTTGATTGGATTTACTAGACTGAAATGATTGATCCAGCTGTGAAGGGAACTCTTAATGTTCTTCGGTCCTGTTCCAAAACTTTATCTGTTAAAAGGGTGGTTGTTACGTCCTCCATGGCGGCTGTGTTGTTTAATAGAAATCCCCGAAATCCTGATGTTGTTGTTGATGAGACCTGGTTTTCAGATACAACAGTTTGCAAAGAAGCACAGGTTAGTAGTTCTGTATGCTTTTTCTCTGTAGATTTTTTCCCTTAATACCATCTCTACATTCACAAAGAAGGATGCATGAATAATGAGTTCAATTTATTGGCTAGATCTTTGTTTAAAAATTAATATTGGATAGGTATGTTTATGTTGAAAGACTTTTAGTAGTCAATATTGAAGGGCCAATCGTCTTAATGTCCCGGTTTATCTTGTTGTGCTTTGCAAACCTTGAAGTATGATCTGAAAGAAATTTTCATGTTATGACATGTGAAATATAGTTATGCTGTGAAATTTGGTAGAGGAATGGTCCGGTAAGTTAAGTCCATATACTTCTTAATTATGGTGGATGAAGGTGTCCTAGTTGGAAAGATGCGGGGTCTAAGTGGCCAAAAGGTTAGCTAGAATTTGGCCAGGTCAAGCATGGGTATAGGACAATGTAAAGTTTATTGTTAGATTTTTTTTATGTAGTGAAATCCTTCTACTAATTTTAAGTATAAAACCACACTCTGATATATGCTATTAACAACTTTACCATTCCAATAACTTTGATGCTGAATGGTACCATTGATGGTGGGACAGTTGGTTACCGTAGTTACATAACAGTTTTCTCAATTTTATTTCGTGCGCTTCATATTTTCTAATGTTTGTTACACCTTCAAAATTTTGTCTTGAGTGAATCCAAATTGTTAGTATGTGTATTTTTACTTTCTTAGGTGTTTCTTGCTCAATCAAGAGCACATGCCGAGGATTGGAAATGATGAAAACAAAAATAATGAAAGTAATGAGAGAAGAGGGAACTTGTATGAAGATTGGTTTGCTCAAGTGGCCCTATTCCTCTGGGAGGGAGACCCCACTTAATATTTTAGGTTGCTTGCAAATTTTTGAGAAGAGTGATATTGACTATGTATTTATCATGAAGAAGGGGGTAATATGATTTCTTTTGCAGTTGCCCAAAAATTTTTATAAGAATGGCTTTTACAGAAACATCCTTCTCAGTAATTATGTTCATATGATTTCGACTAATAAGGGGTATATTTTATAAAGAAAGGAGTTGCATGGTTTGCCAACTGCAATATAGGTAAGAATGGGGCTTCCTTCCCCCACAATACAGGTAAGAATGGGGCCTGTTCCATCTCCCTCCCTCCCTCCCTTCCTCCCTCCCTCTCT